GGACAGACGTTTCTATAGATATGGTAAAAGCAGACTAAAAAAAACGAAATATAATATTTAGTATAATATCCGGTGTAGTCATATCATAGTCATAGAACCCCCTTACTTTTCCGTGGATGTTGTAAGAAGCGACTAAAGGAGGGCAAGGGATGGGCAGCAGCGCCTCTCTTAAAACATCTGCAAATCCTAATTGTGATTGTCAATCCGCCTGCAAAGCATGGCAATACTGGCAAAACCTCCCCAAGTGGGAAGCTCATTGTTTAGCAATGGTCAATAAAAGGCTTATATGATGAATATTGAGTGTAAGGTATTGAAAACTAGAAATATAGTATATTGACCCATATGGCCAGTTTAGCAAAAGTACGCTATATTTTCATCTTGTGGAAAGAGATCCGTACTCAGCAGTAGGATTTTAATGCATTATTAAAAATATGGTTTTAAATGTTTGATTAAAAAGATATTTGAATCATTTTCATCAAGAGACCAAGATATCTATCTAAGCAAACATCAAAAACCAATTCAAACTTATTATCTTAGAATTTCAAATACCTATATTAAGTTTATCATTTTCTATCAAATAAGACGTCAGCTAGTCTACGATCACATCTGTCGAGGAAATGAGATTAACTCTAGCAACAAATATGTCAATTCAAACTCATCTGGCGGAGTAATCTAATGAAAACCAAATCCCTGTCTTATTAACGTGATAAGTTCGCACGTTCTCATGAGAGCCAGTGTCAAACCAGTTCCAGTTGATACATAATTTCTCTAGTCTACACTGTCGGGAGTTCCACGTTTCAGCTTAGCTTTGAAGCAGTAATTTGTAGCTAACGGCACTGCAGGGGACATGTGACGCGCGGCCAGTGACGCTGCTAGATAGGTAACGAGATTGAATTAATGATGTCCGATGTCTAAAAGCATACGAATTACGGTACATTGATATATTCAATATTTACACAGTCTCATGTAAATGCAATATTATAAATATTCATATAGAATATTCTATCTACAATAACAATCAAGACATCTTTTGCCTGGTCGATAACAAATCTCGAGATTTTTTATTCAGCAAATATTTTTATGCCAATAAAAAGGTGCAGTATTAAAAAGATGGCAATACAATGTATCCTTTTATAGACAAGTTGAAGGCTAGATGAGAGAGGTGGTGTTGAAAAATATGCGTCCTTTTTACACTCGAGCGTCGATGACATAAAATTCTTGGAGAACTAGATATACACTTACTGTGTGATATTGACTGACGTAAGATATTCAAGTCGCTGACTGTCTGCAACATACCTGTTTCTAAATATGATTTAGATGATAAAATTGCATTGCCTCTGAATAAGATTCTAGCGATTAGAATAACTTCCTGTAAATTACACTGCGTGGCTTAGAATTTTAGATTAATACTGTTGCATTCTTAATAAGCTGTTTTAACATCAGTACCATAAGTTTCTACATAGTTTTGACGTCTTTAAATTTCTTCTTTCTAACGTAATGATAAGGAATTATCACTGAGATTTAAAGACTTAAAATTACTGGTTATATAATTAGTATTATTTTGTTTAATTCCACTACCATTAGTATGTATGTGACTGCCAACACTCGAAGATTGACCACTAACATAAAACTAAAAACTAGTTTCAAGTGAAATGTTCACAATCAAATACTACAAATTCTCGTAATCAAGTACATCCGTTCGTGTTATTACGGTGTGATACTTTCGCCATTTTGCTACTTAAGTAAAACTCTCTAAAACTCTCAAAAAGGGCGAGCACAAATCTATTATGGAAAGGTCGTAGTGTCATAGACTTTGCTGCCTGAAAAAAACCCTCTTTCAATGATAATAATAACACTCTATCTATGTAAGATTTTCTTAAAATTTGTAATCTTTATTGAAGTACTGGAATTTACTTACCTAAAATTGGACCTATCAATAATTCTTCAATTCAAGAAGCTACATATTAATGTAGCTTCTTGAATCTAACGACAAAAGCTCAAAATTCATGTTTTAAAATGATTATAATTAAACGAAATAATATTAACACTTATACTTCTTTAGGTTTTTAATTTACAATGGAACAAGCTTAGCTATTTGCATATTTCACTATATATATCCTATACAGAGCACGACTAGCGATTACAAAATGCATTTGTTAATGAAATATGGAATAACTCAGTCTATTTGAGCTGCATTACGTGGAATCTTAGATTCCTACAATGTTACCGAGCCACTTGTCGACTCGTCCTATTTTAAATTTTAATAACTAGTTACGCAGATCGTAAATTATGATTCATCCAACCAGAAGATTCTATGAAATATCTCTGTATTTGGATATGATGAAAATATGGAATTCATGATAGGATGAAAGAAAGATAAGATTGTCTGATAAAATATATAAATAATTGATGGGTTTTCAACGACAAGACAACGATTGGACTTTTTGTATGTACAACATTGTGTGAAATGAAAGAAACAATGTGTCTACGATAAAAACAGAGAAAATGATAATTTCATATTTCTTGTAGATGTAAAAACTTATCAACTATATGTTTCACGAAGGTACAAGTAGAGACTTGGAAAGGAAGGAGATAAAAATAAATAAATTAAATTACTTATCATGAATGCAAAGTATTTAAAGCTGCATAATCACGAGTATCATCGTGCCCATTAAACTGCTCTTTATATGCAAGATATTTATGACCAATAAAACCACGTGGTGAGCATCGAACAGTAATTTTGTTCCTAAACAACAAGTTAGTGGCATCAAGTACTTGCTTCAAATAAACAGTGTTCATTGACCGAAGATCAACTGTGTTTAAATTTCATAACGATGATTCAGGATTTAAGGAGTCTTTGAACCAATCAGTGATATTTTTTTCTCCTATTTGATGTCTTTCTTAAACTGAATCTTCAGTTTTATAGTTGATTCTGATATTTATTCTTGACTTTCTTTTATTCTTGACTCCCTGTAGCCATCAACATTAGCATTATAAAAGATGAATATTACACCAATGGGCATTGGCCTTTCATTCTATTGAAGTTTTCTTCTTGCATAGATATATTGTGTGAAGGACTAGTGCGCAAATCACGTCTTCTGATATTCCGGGTATTGAAAACAAGTGACATATTATTGATTGCTCCTTCAATAAATGATGTTATTAAAATTTTGTACTTAGTAAAAAGTCATGACACAAACAATGGTACATAAATATATTTGATTTAATACGTATTATGTATAATTTAGGTTAAATTTATATTTTGGAAAATCGGTATGTTTGAATATTTTCAACTATATGAGTCTTGTAATATAATTTATTTCTTGTGGGGTTCGCATGTTGACTGTAAATATTCGGAGAAGCAAACTTCATATTACCTATACGACTCATCCTATGCCATCGACATGCAAAGCAGTAATTGGTTACAATTTAATATTGCATAATTAACGGACTGTCGGGAGGAATTTTTCCCATGTTCAATTATATATGTGCGAGCGAGTGAGCATGATGACTGTTATATTCTTGTAGCAATTAAATGACTGAATCGATTTCAAATAAAGAGCTCTCATCTCTTTCATATCCTTCGATCCAATATTTGAACGGTCAAGTGTTTCCCCGAAATCGAAAAAGTTAATTATTGCAGTATCCATTTAAGTATTAGGGTATTTTTTGTTTCAGAATTAAATTATTTAGAATCGAGAAAAGCAGTCACAATTACAATGAAGAGTTGTAGCCACTTTTTTTTTTATACAACTTAGAATGGCAAAAACAAGCTATCGGCCCATCTGATGGACAGTGGTAAGCGTCGCCTATAAACATGAGCAGTACCATGGACATAACAGAGTATACTGTTTCGCCCATAATATCCCCCGTGCATTGCCATTCCTGAGGACTCAGGTGTTATTCCTCTGTACCCAGTAGATTCACGCCATATCCCACCCTTCAAACCGAAACACAGCCATGCAAACACAACTGCTTCACTTAAGTTACAATCAAGGTGTACTAGAAACATTCTGAATATTGTTATTTATTTATTTATCCAAAGCACAAAATACATTGTATTAGGTTAGTTTCCATGAAGTGTTTTCTCCGAGTTCTAGAACAATCTACAAACAAAGTAATATCAATAATAATGCCAAGTGAAAAATTACAGATATAAACTTACTAGAACGTGTTATGTCAATAAGCTTATATGTCAATCTCTTATTCACAAATTTTATGCGTTTCTATTATTGATTTCTTAAAAGAAATACATGTATAGATCCAAGAAAAGATTTGGCGTTTTAAGTATCAAAAGTAAAGATTATTTGTTGGCGTGTTAGACTATTATTGAATGGAGTGCTAATTTATCAGTGATATTACTAACTTATTTGGATAGATTTTGGACAATATCTTATGTATAAGCAATAAATTTTGTTATAATTTTCTATATTTGTCCAAAATAAATCTGTTTTCTTTTCCTTAAATTCGAATATATGCAGATTCAAACTAGCATCTATTTGTTGCTGGCGATTTTGTTACACTGTTTGGTCCAACTTGAATTTATATGTTTAATATAGATGGAGATTAATTTAGAATTTGTGTAATATAAGGTATTATTATTAAATGTATGTTTGCTAGGATTTCTTAATTAAGTACATCTATTTTAGTACTGACGATTTGATTCTAGACGTTCTCACAATAGAATGCCTCGCATTTGCAACAAATCATCGAACCTCATGTACGCGTATATATTTCAATCTTCAATCATTTTCATGTTATAATGTGTTAATTTATTTCAAAGGAAGAATAAAATAAATTGCTCATTCAAATGTTTTTTTACATAACCTTTTATATTACAATGATTAAATTTCCGTTATCATCATTATTTTCACATTATTGTAACGAGCCTATCATGAAAAAGTTCATATCAGTTACAACTGTAAAAAATAACAGTATGTAAATGTTTGTTTATAATGCAATCTCATCGATACAATCGTCTTCCCTCCTAACTAAATTACCTATAGAGCTCTATTCACACGTGTTTTCCAACAACATTAATCACTGTAATCCTTTGTGATGAAGTCACTTTCTATGGCGCACAAAAAGTGCGCATCTCACTGGCACAACACGCGCGCACCACCGTGAATCCGGCGCAACACTTTTTTGATTGAAAATTAAAAATCTCATAGCAGGCCGTAATTCGAAAACCGAACACAATGATGCCAACGGATGTATAGACGCGCGAAAACAATTCGAAATTCAAACGCGGTCGTTTGCCGCGGCTGCGTGTGCGCAACTGAGTAGCGGCACGGAGGCAGTGCTGCAAAACGAAATGGTAGATAGACGTTCGAGCGTAACAGAAAAGGGCGGATAGATCGAAAACCCCATCCCTTTACAATTGAAATTTGAATTCTTTATTTTTGTTATTAATTCGAACAGGTTCTACCGCGAATATGTCACGCATCGATATGAATCGTCATACTCGTAAATTATTCGGCCACCGGTCGCCTCTTGCCGTTTAATTAGCATCGACTAGAAAGTCTGAGATGAATTTAATCGATATTAATAACTTGCGGCGCTCTTGATAGTCGTTTAATGGAGTTAAGGCCAAATAATAGCTTCGATGATTGATTGCGAATGATTTTCACTTCAGCCTTCCTGCGTACAATGACCATTATAACTATTAAGTATTTTAGTTTGTTTATTGCTCATTTCTATTTAATTTGATTACTTTTTCTGTGACGTTTTCATTAACTAGCTATTGAAAGTGATCAATAGATTGATGTATAATGAAATATTTGATAAATTCTGTGATATCTATATAAATTTTATTTTTATAGGTATAAATTTTTTAAAGTACATTTTTTAAATGCCACACTTTTTATACAAAGTTTCTGAATGGACTGGTTTGAGGGAACTCAAAAGAGGCAAAACTAAAAGTATTAAAAAAATGAGACCCAATAATGAAACAATACAAGTTTAATAACAATACAATATAACTAATACATTTTAAAATAACTTACTAATAGAATGCTGCACTATTCCTGAATAAGATATGAATGCGTTAACACTAGCTAAGTCATATTGGAAACAGCTGATTGGAAATGCGTTAAAAGTTTTAGAACAGCAAATGTCGACTTTAACGACGTGCTTAATAAAAGGGTTTAGTGACTGGACAGTGAACTGAAAATGTATCTACTTATATCCATAGGCAGGTGGCTGGCCATAATTATGTGGTCGTACACACAACTAACGGAAACGTGCCTAGGATATACGTAATACATTTATATAGACTACAAAATTCTTTGGACTAACTGTTGTTCTCCTAAGTAGATACCAGTTCCATGCCTATTTCTGTTATAAAGCAGCAATGCACATACTATTGTGTTTACATCTAAACGGTAAAGCTGGCCAGTGCAATCTTCAAGTCAATGGCTATAGTTAATGTCTTCAGAAGCCGAGATGCACAAAAAATGCAAAACTTTATGACACTTTCTTCCAGGCGTTACCACTATTTGGAATCAACTTCCAGCAGCAGTATTTCCGAACCGATATGACATCATAACCTTCAAGAAAAGAGCATATTCCTTTTTAAAAGGTCCGCAGCACACATGCAATGCCGTTAGTGTTGTGAGTGATCATGGGCAGTGTTAGTCACTTACCTTCAGGTGAGCCGCATGCTCGTTTGCCCGCTGTGTTGTAAAAAAAGGACATTATAATTCGAGATGTTAACCTTTTTAAAAGACGACCATTTTGCACTTACCAAATGGCTACATTTACAACTCCATCACTATCTGTTTGTTTGCTAGTTCAGAGAAGTTTGTAAAAACGGAAACTTCGTTTACATTCTTAATTTGCTTAGTATTTGACGCAAAAGCAAACGGATATATTAGACAAATACACTTTTATAATAAAAGTGCATATTTGTAAGTAGTCCTAAAACGTCCTGACTGTAAAGGAATTGCAGTTTAAGCTACAATTATGTAGTTTTATTAGGAACACAGTGTTACTTTAAAACTATATTTGGTCCATCGATTGCCTGATAAACGAATATTGAAAACGATAAATCCTTTAAAGTCTCGTGTTAACAAGATTTTATTGAGTTGAGAGATTCATCTTACGATTGCAAGTCCTTCTTTGAATAAAATGGAATAAGAAATAATGGATCAAAAAACGAATTTTCATCGCAAGTAATGTTTTTTTCCATATCTTCCAGAACAATACCTGAATATACCAAAATCTATTTCGTACCGTCCAGTCGTTTGATTTAACATCATGGTTTCTGTTACTCATTGCTTTTAGCTGATCTTTTAGCGTCCATCGATTCTCTGCAGCCAGTTGTGATGGCTTCTAATAGTTCTGCAATACATTTGCCTTACAGATCTGTTGATCTGACACCATTGTGCCAATACTTCACAACTCTTGATGGTTCTTAGAGCGAAAAGACCGGCTCGTTGTACCTTGTTAATTTTCTGTTAAAGAAATATCTTACAAACTATGGGTATTGATGACTTTGGTTCTTCTACAGATATCTTCGCACGGTTTGAGTAATGACACTTTTACGTCAGTCATTTATATTTCACTTTTAACTACGTAGATTTATTTGTATTTAGTATTATCTTTAAGTGATTTACTATTCAATTGATCCCAAATAAACCTGTCGTTTAACATTATTTGTATATATATATATATATATATATATATATATATATATATATATATATATATATATAGTGTATTTCGGTGAAATGTATGTCATTCGGACAATTGTAAATCGAGTAAATTAATCATGAACTTGAACATTTACGAGTATTGATGCACTAAAACTTGCTCGGTGGGTACAAGTAGACAGTTCGCCTGGATACCGGGCGTTTATCACAAACCAGTCGAGTTTACTTTCTAAAGCGTTCGATAATTTGAATCCAATAATATATTTTTACGTCGAATGGCATAATAATTTATGAATTAAATTACTCACAGCGAGTAATTTACAGTCGATAGTCAAAGGGGCACCAAAATTACTTTTAAAGGTGTTAAAAGGAGAGTTATGTTTAATAATGAAATATGTTTTTATTTGTTTGTATTTATTTATGTGTATATCTATTATAGAACGGTTACAGCTGTAGTAATAACAACTGCTTTTTAGTAATGGCCATATGGCCCCAGCATAGAATAGGCCACCCCTTTAATTCCTGTGGGTGTTATAAGAAGCGACTAAGCGAGGGATGAGCAGCGGGGTCCCTCTTAAAACACCTCTAAAGCCTAACAGCGGTTGCCAATCAGGTTGCTTGGCAGGCGAAGCGTGGCAATTACTGGCAAAATCCCCCCCAGGGAGAGGCTTATGTTCAGCAGTGGACAGTTAAGGGGTAACATCAAAAGGGGGTAAAGAGGTTTCTTCAGGGTCGGCAACGCGCGCGTAATACCAGAGGTATTGAGGTATTGAGGGATATTATAGGTACAATAGACACATATAAAACATGACTAGTGTCACAAGGTGGTCCTTAACGCTCAGACAAAATCATTGAAGTAGAACAGTTTAAACCTTTCACGAACTCCCCTTTTGCATTAATGATTATGGATGTTTAATTAGATGATTAAATGTTAGTATTAATATATATTTTTTTATACAACTTAGAATGGCAAACAAGCTGACGGTACATTTGAAGGAAAGTGGTAACCGTCGCCTATAGACATGAGCAGTACCATGGACATAACAGAGAATACTGTTTCGCTCATGATACCCCCCATGCGTTGCCATTCCTGAAGACTCAGGTGTTATTCCTGTGTACCCTGTAAATTCAAGCCATATCCCACCCTTCAAACCGAAACACAGCCATGTAAACACAACTGCTTCACGGTAGAAACACGAATAGGATAGAGATACCCAAGCAATTGACTTTTGTACAAAGTCTCCCTCTGGTGATTATTGAACTGTTAACGTCTAATGCGACGGTTACCACTTTCCATCAATTGGGCGGTCAGCTTGTTTACCATAACAGTTCGAATATAAAAAACTCAATATGCCTTTTGCAACCGTTAAATCAACAATTGCATATTTTACCATAAACTACGAGGATTGTAAAGCAATAGTGGATAAGGTGAATGAAGTAGGTAGACTGGTTTCGTTGCAGGAATGCGCAGAGTACCACTCAGGGTGGAGCCGCAGCTGGGATCATTTGCTACCACGCAATCAACGTAATCACTCGGATGATTCGATCGGGACCACTACTCGTGGAACACGTCGGAGCGAGGCGATCAATAATATAAAACCACTTGCGGTGTTGTTTCGTAAAATTTGCTATGTTTTACTTTAATTTATTGGAGTCACGCTTAAATATTAAGAAAGAGCACGAGAATGAGTGCTAATTTAAGGCTGAACCGGTTTTAATGGAATTTGGTTCCTCAAACATAATGTTAACTAAAAATATTGTAATAGGAAAATAGTATAATATTAAATTTCAAAAAAAAATATTCCTTGATGCTAATTTGTAATTATACCAACTTAGAAATTATGATATCAGCTTTTGTTTGAAAAGAGCAACGGTCAAGGTTCGTGGATCATTCTTCTTGACGGCTTTCCAAATTGTACATTAAAAAAAACATATTTTAAATGATTACACCAATTATGTACTTGATATCGATTGTTTGAATTCAATGACGAGTGATTTCCTTCATGTGGAGCATGAATTTATATTTTATTTTATTGACTGTAATGATTAAACAATGAGATATAATAGTACCTGCAAGTTTAAATGTATGAGAAGTCCTTTATCTACTCTGTTATTCGATATTGATCAATATTTCTTTCCAATAGAGGTTCATTTTCTTTCCGTTAATTAATAAGATTGAATTTTGAATAATAGATGGGTACGTAGCTAATACAGATATTTGGTTGTTACTGAATTACGGCCGATCAAAAACACCTGAACACATGCTTGATATTTAGTACATAAATAGAGCACACCGAAAATTAACACAGGCCGCATATTTATTGTTTTTGTGTTATTATTTATCAAAATCAAAACATGCATCACTATTTTTTCTTTTTGGCTTCCCTTCACAATCCTAGTCTTCTAAGTTCCTTTCGCCAATATACCAGGAACGGAAATTGAGAATATATATTCTCAATTTCCATTCCTGGATCCCTTTTTCGTCCACATTTTTTTTTATACCACTGAGGTGGCAAACAAGCATACGGCCCACCGGTAAGCGGTGACCGTAGCCTATGAACGCCTGCAATACCAGAGGTATTACGCGCGCGTTGCCGACTCTAAAGAAACCTCTTTACTACTCATTCCATAACC